GCAGTAAGCTACCACACTGGGCGAGCTAAAGATGAACAATCCTACATCGCCTGGGTATGGAAGGGGCAAGTGCTATATATAGATTTAACACCCTTCTATGACACAACGTGTTTTAAAGCCGTGATGGTCGTGAACCCATTAGAACTCCAGAGTTAAGCGTGTTTAACCTGTAGTAGTACCAAGATGGATAACCCCTAGGAAGTCTCTGGCCTGGGGAAGCCAAAAGCAGACAATATTATGTCTGGCTAGAGTAAAGGTTGTTACAAATGGTATCAGAGCCTGATCTAGCCGAAAGTGTAGCCAAAAGGGACGTTGGGCCTAAAGGGGGGGTGATTGTGGCGACCTTGTAGGCAGGTGTGTGTAAGCGTGTGCAAGTAGCACCAGTATGCTACCACATTAGGCGAGCTACAAGTGCACAATCCCACATCGCCTGGGTGTGGAAGGGGCAAGTGCTATATGTGGATTTAACACCCTTCTATGACATAACGCATTTTAAAGCCATGATGCCCATGAACCCACCAGAACTCCAGACTTAAGCGTGTTTAACCTGGGGTAGTACCAAGATGGGTGACTGTAATGACCCGGACTTTTCCCTCCTTCCCTTTTTTCGGCATTTTTCTTTTCTTTCCAGTTTTGTCTTTTTCCCTATTTCGTCTTTTTCTATTTATAGTTTTCATTGCATAACCTCACTTTTTGTGCTCGGATTTGAGTCCGACTTTACATACATCCATAATATTTAATTTCCATGATGTCTACATTTTTACTTTTGTAGAAAAGCATGCTAGATGTTTACTTTTCTTGTAAAGAGCATAGATACATAACTTTTTGAAAATATTCTTAACTTTTGGGGTTTTAGTATAATTATGTAAAGTAATTATTTTTCGTCTTAGGGACCATTTTGTAATTTAATTTGTAAAATATTTTTAAAAAGGACCTTTTTGCAATTTTTGAAAAGTGTGACAAGTGTCACACTCATATGGTGCCACTTGTTGGCATTGGGTTGGAAAGACTTGGAAGCATAATCTTGTAACACATGGAGGGTGGAGATTCACCCACTTGTTGGCCTAGGATTTGAGCATTTGTTGGCTTGGATGGTTGACAAGTGTAGGCTTACGATTAAGCCTAGGAAGGAGCCATGGATTAGTGACAAGTGTAGGCACCTAATTTAATCTTGCATTGTGTGTGTGTGAGAGGTAGTGCAAGAGCACATAGTGAGTGGAGAATCTCACCACATTTAGTTTAGGGTTTATGTGTTATTTCATTTTTTCTCTTTCCTCTCAAACCCTAACCTAGCCACCATTAAAACAAAGCTTAGTTTAAAGCTTTAAGCTTCATTTTGGCCTCCTTCCACTCACCTTAGACCCATAAACTTGAAATACTTTTGCTTCCTCTCACTCTCCTCTACAAAACCCTAGTTTGGTTTACCATTTTAAGCTTGGTTACTTTGGTTTATAGAGATTCAATTCTCTATTGAGGTAGAGGGTGTTCTAAATTATGTTTTTGATGTTTTATACATTTTATAACTTGGTACAAATGAACTACATGTCTTTAATCTAAATCTTTAAGTTAATAGTTAATGGTACCTTGCATGAAATTAAGCTAAGACATAATTTTTGGAAAGGTCATGACTTGATTCATAACTTATGTTAATTTGAAATCATTTAGGATTGTTTTGAAATATAGAAGAATTAATTAATTAATTTAATTAATTTTTATTTATATGTCCTTATGACTTAAATCAAGTTTTGAAGTGATATAGGTAATGATCATGATAGATTCTTGAACATATATTAAATTGAGCATGTTTGGATGAGAAGTGAAATCTAGAGAAATTAATTGTTTTGTTTAATTAGTTTCTATCCTTGTTGTATTAATGATTTGGGTATGTATTTTATGCCAATTGCATGTTTAAATCATGATTCTAGACTTGTACTATAATTGTGGGATTATGTTCTTAATATTAAAGGACATTGTTATAAAAAGTAACAAGTTGCATAATGATTATTCAACATTCTTTATACCAATGTAGTTGTGAACTTAGGGCATGTATTGTGTTTCCATAATTGGTTTGTGTATGGTAGATGGTCTCATATTGTATATATATGTTTATGTTAATATATATGTGTTGTTGCACAAATTGTTGATTTTAGAAACTTAGGATGTCGTTGTTATGACTACGGTTAGGGCATGGTTCTAGTACGGGGGATTGTCCCTTTACAAGTCTAGTGCGCACATTGGGAGGTTACCCATGGGCTAGTAATCCTAAAATAACTATGGTATCAGTCTGATCCAGCGTTATGTCTAAATATCCACTTTGGTTTGATTTCGCATTTAAATTCCAAGTTGATAACTTTATGAATTTATATCTTATTGCATTGTATTGGAAGTTCTAATGTCGGTTGAACATTATGAATTGATTTATATCAAATTGCAAAGTTGTATAAAGTAGGTTCATGCATGCTCATTCCCTACGAGTAAACTTGTTTACTCACCCTAAAGTTACCGGATGTTTTTCAGGTAAAGAAGCATTATTGTGGGATGCACAACACTCTTAAGATTGCTTGACTACTTGGAGTATTTTTGTTATGTTAGAATATGCACTTATTAGCATATCATGCTCCATTTTGGTTTATTTTGACAAAACATGTATTTAATGTTCAAACTATGTAATGTGCACTTAAGTGCACCTTTTGACATTCTTTGGATGTATATATAATGAGGCCAAGGGCCAAAGACATTTATATGACATGTATGCTAGTTTAACTTCATAGTTTGTTTATGGAATATATGGGATTTCAAGGGTTAAAGGGTCATATTTTGCTTATGACATGCCATGAGGCCGTAGGCCATTATAGCGCGTCTACTTATTCATTTTACGTATGCATGCATGTTTACATTTCACAAAACTCTTAAGTTCCAATTTTTGAACTATTTTTGGATGATTTATGAAAATTTAAGCAAAATTCATGCATTGGGATATCATTTAAAGCTTTATTTTGATTTAGCATGTTTTAGATGCTTGCATGAGGCTAGGGAATGTTTTGAAACTAGTCTGGATCAAATGGGAAGCATGCATAGCTTTAGGATTGAGCCAAGCACCTTCCCCATGGATTGCAGCAGCTTTTTCTACTGCTACTAGGTCCATCGGTCGGCTGATAGCAGTCATCAGCCGACTGATGACCATTCGAGACCAATTCCAGTAGCCATTTTTAGGAAAATCATCGTTTCGGCCAGCTGAGGATTGGGGTTCGGCCGGCTGATCCTCCCTGGAACCTTCCCCTTTTGATTTTCTTGAACAGCTTTGTTACATCAACTTCAGAGAGCCATAACTCCTTCATTTCTAGTCCAAATCAGGTTGTTCTTGAGTCTAAATTCAAGACCTTGAAGTTATCTTTCCAATGGTACCAACCAAGCATCAAAACTCCAATTGTAGTGAGAGTTATTACAGTTTTAGTAAGATAGGGTCGCGGTATCTCTAAATCGGAGAATGCCGTTTTGTTCTTATTTTCATATCTTTTCCATCCGGACTCTGAATCAGGTGATTCTTAAGTCTAACTTTATTAATTTTTTGTTTTATTTCCAATGGTATGCTTGATAGAATCCATTTCTCTATAAAATGACCATTTTACCATTGATCCATCTCTTGTAAGGTTTCAAAACCCTTGTTTTCTTCTTGCTTCCGTTCTCGGGACTACTCGGGAAGCCACCTTTGTGTCTTAGGGATGACGTACATATCTAGAGACCTTGGTTTTGTCCTTCGCTTTCGTATTTTGGATCCATTCACGGATCATCTTCGGGTAATCAGAGGACGCACTGGGTTCGAAAATCCAGGGTCGTCACAGTGACCCTTGGGAAGTCTCTGGTCTGGGGGAGCCAAAAGCCGACAATATTGTGTCTGGCTAGGGTAAAGGTTGTTATAAGCGTCGTCTTCATCACCAAAATATGCATCCCTGAACATCTCATACATTTCAGGTATTTCCATACAATCTTGATCGCCTTCATTTACTACTTGTGTATTCCTCCTCTCCATGAAAGACCCATTCCCTTTTCCACTATATGCTCGTACACCTTACAGTAATGTTGATATTGTGAATTTAAACAAAGTTTACAGAGTATAAAATGGTATCTCGATTCTTTGCATTACCTCGAGCCCAAGCGAAAAATCTTTTTGCTCCATTTGTATAATCTTATGAAGCTTTACAATTGAAGACTTAAAACATTTAATTTTTACAAAAATAACAGGTATAATGTTTTAGCTTTTATACCTGTCATCAAGTTGCATCCAGCCTTTATCCCCCATAGCTCCTTGCTGACTTATTCAATAACTCTAGTAGAAGTTATTAATAACCCAAACCAAGTTCGTCATGAGTCAAAAATAGATCATTTTGTGATTATATATCTAGACTATGGCCACTTTACTAATTGCATTTTTGTTAGTAATTAAAAAAAAAAATCCAATTGAAAAAGTTAGCATTAAATTTAAGTCTAAATTTATTACCACTAATCAAAATTGAATCTCAAACACAGAAAACTCATAAGCTAATATGAGTATGTTCAATTAAATACATGCATATACTATATAATCACTGCATAGTCAGAGACCTTGCATCAATTGCATTTTTCGAAGAAAAAAAAAAATTCTGAATATATATGTGAGCACCAATGACAAAATGCACAGAAATAAGCAGATGAAGCATCCAATCAAGATGTTACCAAATTTCCCACTAAAGAAGAGCAATGGCAGACTATGATGTTGAGTAGTTTCTAATCAGTATCTAGATTTTTGTTAGTCAAAGACATTATAAATGGTATACCCTCTTAAAAACGGTCTCTTGACTAAAGAGACTGTTTACCTCTGCCAAATTCTGAACTTGTTATATTTCAATTAGTTTTTAGCAAGACTGATTGCTAATTTAACTGAACTGAAGCCAATTCAGAAAAAAGAAACTAAGTTTTCTGAAAAACTGCACCATAAATGTTTAGATTGCTTCATATCTTACCTTGATTCACCAGCTAAATCAGCCGAGCAAAAGGACAAAAATTTTCACCATCCTGTAATGAGCCATTGAGATAAATAAGAAATGATAAAGAGAGAATCAACACCATGTATAAAATATTGTGTAACATTAAAAGACGAAAAAGGTTTCTAGCGATGACAAGGCAGAAGAAGCATCCCAATTACATAACAAAGGCAGAAATACAAATAGACAAGATACAAAAAATAGTAGTGAGTAAAAGTTGTTGTCTGTATCATTAAGCAACAGCCAAAGGACTCGAGAAAATAGGATTATTATTAGTAATAATGAAAGATGAGCAAAAATAACTATTAGGTTTATATAACTTAGAACTGAACGTAAGTCTCGATCCTTTAAATTAAATTCAAAAGATATCTTTCTTTTTTTAATTAAAAGTTCAAAACCTTCAACAACTAGCAAGTACTTGTTTGGAAATTGAAATTGGAATGCATTATCAGAAAGCCAATCAAATAACATGAGTGATTAAAGGGTAAGCTGAGTCAAAAATTTACTCCAAGGCAAAGTTCCAGCAATCTAGAGTTCCACTCCAAGACAGCAAACAAGGAAGTTCAGATATTTTGTTTTAGTTCTCCCATTATGTTCTCTTGTTATATGGCAATGCATCAACAACCAAGTAAAAAGTCATGCGAATACTAAACAAACAATGGATATTGCAGAATGGTTAATTGTCTCCAAATAGTTGTCAACCCCGAAGTGTCGTCAAGTGTATTACCAAAATTTTGCCATCCAAAAGCATTATAACATCCAGTATGTTGTTAAAAATAGTATTACAACTACTGTAAGAAATAAATTATTGTTAAACCATTTTCATGCTTTCTATGAAAATGAAATTGTTCTGATAAAAAAAAAATTCATATAAATTGTTCTATGAAAATGAAACTGTGGCTTTATCATGGTTTCTGAAAGCGTCCAACTGAAGCTTTCTAGGTCATCTAAACTTGATGCTCACAACAGAACAAAAGAAAATTAAATGAGAAGAAGACTAAGAAGATTTCAAAGGCAGAAATATCATGCCAAAGAATAAGGGCTAATGAACCTACTGCACCAAGTAAGTCATGAACCTAGTTCCATGACACCTAGGTTATTTCAGTAATATTGGCAATCCAACATGGATGACACCAATAAAATTTTTAGCATTCAGAAAATGATAGCCCTTTGAGGGGGAAGAGGTTTCTAGCCAATTTTAAGGGTAACTTAGAAAAAAATTGTGGACATAAAATTTTTGTAATGCAATTCATTATCCTTTAGACTCGCCCGGAAGCCCACTTACTGGCCTTTATTTATAGGAGAAACTACATAGCAAAATTAGTACTCACAGGATTGTAAATATGCATTCACAAATCTCCTTCTGTTTATCACTGTCTTCATAATATATTTTTTCAATGTGACATAACAATGGCCAATTGTACCTGGACTCTGTTTAAGTAAAGAAGAAAAAGATATGTTCCGTAATTTATGGTCACTATACACCACCAATTTTTAATTATTATTACGAAATCCCTTATTCAATGTGATTGAAATTGACAATACAAAACCTTCTCCATCACTATTAAAATTTCTTAAACTAAGAACGGTTGAAAATTAGTGGCAACACGACAATTTTAATGTTGTATTTTATGAGTTATATGGATCATCCAAATTACTAACTGTGGCCATTTTCAACATGGCATGGAACAGAGAATTGGTTTCCAAGGTTATATCAATGAGACTTTTGTTAGATTGGGTTACTAATACCAGGATCTGCACTCCAAATTCTAACCTTAAGGGGTTATTTGTAATGGTTTAAATTTAGAATATATTTCTTGTGAGCTTCTAAAACATGTTTACAAAATGTTCTTACAGTAGAATGTTGCCTTATCATGATTATATGTAAATTGGAACTTATTTTTTAATTTTTCTTTTCCCCTTTTTCGCTTTTTCATTCTGGTAAAGCTTGCATTTAGCTAGCAATATTTTATAGGGAACTTTCAAAAACACCTATTTATTAACTATTGAGATAGGTAATCACCATTTATTAACTTTTGAGACAGGCAATCTTACAAGAAAATTGAAGAATTAACAAAAATTTCTATTTCTATTCTGATAAAAAAGAAAAAAATACCCCTTTTTTTCTTTTGGCAATTGATAATAAATCCTTATTCCAAGAGGCAATGGTATCATTTTTCATTATGAGTATCAAATCAACCAAATACGTACAAACACATGAACTAAAATCATCTCACCAGAAAGTAATGACAATGGACAGTTGATTGATTGAAATTATCCGCACATGGTGACATTTGCAGAGAGAGAGACTCTACAAATTGCTAAGGGAACACAGAGATGATCAAAGAGGAAGTTAAAAAATAGTACCTGTGTTAGAGAGGGTTAGACTAATCCACCATGCTGTGAAAGATGAAAAAAAAAAAAGAAAATTGATGAGAAGAAAGAGATCGAGGAGAAGAACAGAGACGAGAGTTCAGAGAAAAATAGAGATAAAAACCAAATATATATATATATATATATATATATACGTACTTGGGTAATTTTCGTCTAAAGGTGAAACTCGCAAAAGATGAAGCTCCAAAAAAATTGTGCTTGGACTTAGAAAGGGCTACGATTTCATATGGATTCAAGAGAAAGAGAGGGGTGTTTTGGTTGATTGATGTGTGCGAAGTTTGGGAGCAGTAATGAACTTTTTCGCGCACCACTTGATGAAAACAATTGTCGGGAAACTTAACTTTTCCCAAAAATATACTTAACCCTATTCCATAACGGGCCATGTGGGCCTGTTATAGAAAGTCCTTTCTACAATGGGCTATGCAGGCCTATTGTAGAAGAATTCCTTTCTACAATGGTTCATGCAAGCCTATTGTAAAGAGCTCTTTCTACAAGGGATTTGTGGGCCTGTTGTAGAAAATGTGTTATTACAGACTTATTTTCTTGTAATACGTTGTCTATTGTATGGATGTTGTGTATTTAATTATAATGTTTAAGGTGGTTTATTCAGAGGCGTAGACGAGTTGCCATGGTATAAACAGATTGCCATTGAATTGTGTGAACAAAACACATAAATTAATAACATGGAGAATTTGTTATTCTAAAGCATGGACAAAAACATACTTGTGGAGGGATAAATGAGTTATCAAGCCATAAATGGTTTGCCATTTGAATTGTATGAATAGAAACATACTCTTGGGGGCATGGTAGAGTTGCCAAATATTCCAATATACAAGTGATTTATTTATTATGGTTCATTAACCATTATAATTAAGTTGTAGCTTAGAAGATAAAATTCTAAACGAGGTTGGTCTGTCCAATATTAGTACGATATATATATATATATATATATGTTGTCATTTATGGTTTGGGATTTGGATGATTTATTTATTTATTATGTTTGATGTTATATATTGTTAAGTAACACTTTATATTAAATGTTGAATCTTTATTAGGGTGATTTTGGTTAAAGATGTTTTATTTATAGGTTTTCAGAGGCTTAGTAGAGGGAACTTATTGATGGGTTTAACCGACTTTATTTTTATATCTTTTAGATTCTTAAAGGTTCAAGTCTCAAGACTGAGGATCCGCGACTTGGAGACTTATATACTCTCTCTATTTATTAAAGTAGGATATTTATCGATTATTAGATGTTAGACATTATTTTATTTATGAATGATTGGGTGATTGGAATATGGTTTAGGGTCTTTGAATTACGGATTTCTCGAATTGTAATTTTGGAGGATTATTAGCAATAGAATTTTTATTTAATAGAATTTCCTTTAGCGTATTATTTTTTCTTTTTATTTAATTTTGTAATCTGTGCTTGTTAAATATTAATTATTTTGATATTCCCTGATATTTTAGTATTGATCAACCATATGTGTGAAATTAGGGGCTGTCACAGTGTCAGTGTAATTTACCCTTTAAATAAATATTATTAACATATTAAGATGCTAGTTTTACAATTTTTGCCTAAGGTCATTATTAACATATTAAAAGGCCACTTTTATAATTTTTACCTACAGCATTAAATTATTTAAGCCACCCTGACAATGTAATGCCATTACTTCGTGAAAGTATTATATTCAACGCTCTTGATGTAATGCTATTGGGTTTTTAATTATTACATTAATAATATTTTGTTGAGTAGTAGTTTCATCTACTTAATCCTTATTGATTATTATAATTTTTATTTTTGTTTTTTATTATTAATATTATTATTATTATTATTTTCTCATTGACAAGAAACTCACACAAACCCACTTTGTTCCTTTGAAAATTAGAACCCTCATCATCCACTTTGAGATGTAAATTGGATACCATTAGACTACAAAACTCTTAATTATCATTGATTATTTGTTAACAGATTTATGTGGTCACTGCAGCATGACCACATGAAAAGGAAAGAGAAGAAAGACAATATCATGATGAACCAAGACAAATTTACCGAAACAAGATGGACAAAGACAAGATATGTTTGTTCGCAAGATGAAAAAAATTAAAAAGACACCTTTATGCATCGCAACCTTGACTTTTGAATTGGACAGTTTCAATGAAATTTCCTTAAATTTTAAATTGATGGGGTCATTCTGCTCTCAAACATAATCCAAAATTTAAAATTCAATAATTTTTCTTCTCATAGGAGATCAAATAGAGAAAATAGTAGTGAAAAGGAGGAACAGACACGTTTCAACTCTTATTGATCAAGTCCGTTCTTAGAGTTAGTCTTATGATCTTTGTTCCATTTCTCTTACTTTTCTTTTTCTTAGCCTTATCGTTTTTGTCTCTTTACTAGTTTAATTTTTTCTTTTGAAGAAACAATGAGTATTTGCAACTCCATTGGTTGTATTTTTACTCCCTTTTGGCGCGCTAAGGGTGGTGATGATTGTATTTCAATTTAATTTGTTTTATTTTTTATTGGGAAGGCTAAACAAATCCTTTTAATTTGTTTTTATATACACCAGTTTGTGGATCTCCTCGCCTTTAAAAGTGAAAAATAAAATATTCAGGTCTTTTGAAGTACATCTGCAAATTCTTTACCACGACAAAAATAAATTAATAAAATTGAGAAAATTATAAAGTTAGAGGAATTCTGTATATTCTATTATGTGTAATGAACATATATATATACACTCTTATAGCATCACATCCCTTGATACGAGGGATTGACAATAAATTCCCTTGGTACGAGTGATTGCTAGTAAATACAATTAGTATAATATATATTAGAAAATAAATAATGGAGGAATATTATGTGGTGATTTGATCCTTCTTAACACTCCCTTTCAAGTTAGAGTGTATATTCATAACACCTAACTTGCAAAGTAAATGATGAAACTGTTTGGACCCGAGTGCTTTAGTAAAAAGATCAGCATGTTGTTGGGTTGTAGGCACAAGAGCTGTTTGAATGACACCAGCTTAAAGTTTTTCTCGAATAAGATGACAATCAATTTCTATGTGTTTTGTGCGTTCATGGAAAATAGGATTTGCAGTTATATGCAAGGCTGCCTTATTATCGCAATGCAACATGGTTGGTTGTGAGTGCTCCACCTTTAGATCTTCTAATAAATGTTTTAACCATACGATTTCACAAGAAGTCGTTGCCATAGACCTGTACTCTGATTCAGCCGAAGATCGTGAAACTGTTGTTTGCTTCTTTATCTTCCAATATCCGGTAACTGATCTTCGAGTATCTCTACAGCGCGCCCAATCAGCAGCACAAAATGCCCTTAATTGGATGGGGCTAGTCATTGATAAGAAAATTCCTTGACCTAGTGTTCGTTTGACATACCTTAACACTCGATGTGCAGCATCTAAGTGTGGTATGCGTGGCTCGGCCATAAATTGACTTAATACATGTATTGCATACACCAAATCTGGGCGTGTGATAGTTAAGTGAATCAACCTTCCAATAAGTCGGCGATATGTAGAAGGATTGTCTAACAATTTTTGAGTTTCAAATTTTGCTCCATAGGAAATTCTGCTGGTCTTGCACCTAAAAGGCCAGTGTCTTCAAAAATCTCAAGTGCATACTTTCTTTGAGAGAGATGAATTCCTTTTTTCGAACGAGCAACCTTAATGCCTAAGAAATATTTTAAATTGCCAAGATCCTTAAGTTTGAAACGGTTACTTAAGAATTTCTTAAGTTCTTGAATTTGCTTCAAGTCATTTCCTGCCAATATCACATCATCTATATAGACAAGAACAATAGTAAAACTATTTTCCTTGAATCGGACAAACAATGAATAATCTACCATTGACTGTTAATAATCGACATAACCAAGTGCTTCAGAAAATTTTACAAACCATTGTCTGGATGCTTGTTTAAGACCGTATAAGGACTTATTGAGTTTTTATACTCTTGTCTCCCCCTTTCGCCCAAATCCAGGAGGTAGTGTCATGTAAACATCCTCTTTAAGGTCACCATGTAAAAATGCATTGTTTACATCCAGTTGGTGAATGTGTCATCCTTGAATGACAGCTAGAGAAAGTAAGATACGCACGGTGACTAACTTGGCAACAGGAGCGAAAGTTTCCCCATAGTCAAGACCTTCTATTTGGTTGTAACCTTTCGCAACCAACCTCGCTTTATATCTTTCCACTGAACCATCAGAGTTGTATTTGATTTTGTAAACCTATTTGCACCCAATAGGTTTATTCTCAGGTGGTAGTGGTGTTAATGTCCAAGTGTTATTTATTTCAAGAGCTTCAAGCTCAGAGCGCATAGCGTCTCTCCACTTAGGGTCTTGAATAGCCTGCAAAAATGTCTTAGGTTCTGTTTCAAGAGAAATAGAAATAGTGAAAGCATAGTGAGAATGAGATAAATGCTCATATGAGAGAAAATTGCACAATGGGTGAGAAGTTCTATTAGAATTTACCATTGCCAAGTCTGATGACTGAGTTGGTCAAGATGGGAAACCAAAGCCAAGATGAAAATCTTATAAGTAACCAGGGGGCTTGGTGATCTGCACAGATTTGAGAAGAACTTGTGATGGTTGAGGAGAAAATGATGAAGTAGATGACAGAGAAATGGAATTTGGGACTATAGGTTGTATTGAGCTAGGTAGAGGAGGTGGTGCGGAACTTGGTAGAGACGAGTCAGGTATGTAGTTAGAAGGTGGATGATAGGTTGACACATTTCCATTCGGAGCATCAAATACACAAGGTAAAATGGGGTATCAAGGTGACTCGTTGGATTGAGCAAATGGAAATTGTCCTTTATGGAAAATCACATCACGAGAAGTAAATACTTGGTGGCTTTCAATATCATATACTCTATATCCCTTTTACCCATAAGGATATCCAAGAAAAATGCACCCTCTAGCACGTGCATCAAATTTGGATGGTTTTTGTGCATGGGTGGAAGTAAAACATAAATACCCAAAGACTCTCAAATAAGTACATGATGCCTTAATTTTAAATAACATCTCATATATATGGTGACTTACCAGACAAAATAGGTGTAGGTATTCCATTGATTAAGTAGGTGGTTGTTAGAATAGCATCTCCCCAAATATGTTTAGGTAAGCCAGCTTGAAATAATAAAGCACGTGCTACATTCAAACGATGATGATGGTTGCGCTCTACTACTCCATTTTGTTGTGGAGTGGACACGCAACTGTGTTGATGAACAATTATTTTTTCTGCATAATAAGAAGGCATGCTAAATTCTTGGCTATTATCACTTCGTATGGTTTAAACTTTGGAAGAAAATTG